GGCTCCCTGGGCTCGGCACCGCCACCCGAGCCTGGCGTGGGGCCGGGCCGGGGGAGAAAGGGCAGGGCATGGACCGCGGCTTTTTCTTACCGTGTTCAGCAGCTCAGGCTGTTTGATTTAGGAAGGCAAAACTGCATGTGCGGTGTTTGCACAGGTAAGAGTTGGAAGTGTGAGGCTGATACAACGTGTGTAGGTGTGACTTGGTGCAGTGTTACCGTTCAGAAGTCTGGTTTTATTTAGAAGAGATGGCTGGAAGTCCCTTCTACTCTTTTACACCTGCTGGAGGAGAGTGTTCCAGTGAGACAGCAACGGGAAAGCCAAAGGAATATGCTTCATTCAGAAACCGGCCTCTTCTGCTAGTCAGTCCTTTCAGAGTGAAATGGTTAGCTTTCCTTATCCTAAAGGCTAGACATTTACATTTTTTTAAAACAGAGATTCTGTTTTCCTCAGGAGGGAGGAGGCAGTTTTCCCCCTTCTAATCCGAATTTCTGATAATCTGTGCTGCAGCCCTTTGAATCTTGTAGTTCATCTGTCATCCTCAGGATTTGATTCCCCACACTGTTATGTGATATCTTAAGTGAAACAATACTTCTGTCTTACTACCCTAAAAGAACCCCTACTAAAGTACCAGAGGGAAAGGCTACTAGAGACAAAGGATGGTTAACTTACTGGAATTACTGTCCTCGAGTGCACAAAAAAGCTTAGAAATGAGGAAGCCAGGATTGCTTCATTTGTAGTGTTTTGTTGTGTATCTAATGCAAGAGTCGGAGTCTGGCCTGTGGAGCACGTTTGTTTCCATTGAGTCTCCTTTGGGCTCCCGACTTCCAGATGCCTGCTTACATATGACTTGGGGTTTAAGACTCCTTCAGAAAATCCTGAGGAGAACCACCATGTGGGGTGACCCATAGAAGGGTGACCCATAGAACATTGTTATGGGGTCAGCCCCACTGCCTGACTGTTTCTCTGAGCTGTTGTAGTCTTCTACCTTTTAAATGGTGTTTTGTCTTTTACTAATGTAGTTGTGTGATTTTAATTTAAAAAAAAAAAAAGCCTTAAGGGCTTGTATTAGCTATCTCTCTTGCTCTTCATCTTTTCCTAATTCACCTTGTTGACTTTCATTAGTGTGAACATATCAGTCGTGCTTCAAATGAGTTGCCTGGTTTTGATATGGGCAGAACAACTGAAAGTAACAGAAGAGTCAGGCTTTTCTGTGGGAAAGAGAGGAAGGATTCTGGTGTGCACTGGAACAGTGACAGGGCTTGACCTGCCTTCTCACAAGAGAGAAGATGAACTCTTAAATAAGTGGAAGATCTCTTTCTCTCTTTCCTCCCCCTCTTCCTCCCTCTCTTTATCTCCTTTGTTTGTTTTCAAATTCTGTCAGCAACTTAAACTTTACACTGAAATTACTTTTTTTTCAGTACTAACAGGTTTGGAAAGTTACAGGACCCATACAATTTTTTTAGTGTCTTTATATGAACTGTAGCAGTCTGAGCTGCAAATCTAAACAACTGTAAGTGATTTCTTAGGAGGAGGTAAACATTGACATGACTCTTACTAAGACAATAGTAAGACAATATAACCAATAATCTTTCAAGTCAGTCTTGCCCAGTAGTGTGATTTCTTTTTCTTTTTCTTTTTTTTTTAAATTGGGCTATGGGTATTTTTTGGTATATTTGAAAACCAAAAAGCTAAGTTAAAGATTAGATGTCCACAGAACAGAAGTATGGGGTTTATTTGTATCTTGAGAGTGCTAGAATGTGTCAGACTTCTAGTTTGTCTGTGGACAGAAATGTTTTCCTTTGTCCTGAAATGAAAAGCCTGGAGTCTGCAGAACACTCTCAGTTGGTACAAGCTTGTGTATGCAGGAGTATACTGTATCTGCCATTTTACCTGCTTGATACATTTCGTCATGGCAGAAGGACCACCATGAGCTGGTGCACGTGCTATTAACACATTGATGAATTCAGATGTGTTTGGATTTTACTTTTAAGCTGAAGCATATTCTTTAGATTCCTCACAGCAGCTCCTTTCTAGGCAGAAGTTCAGGGAGGTTCCAAACAGAGGCTACTCAAAGAGGCACATATGTAGGTACCCACATAACTTGCAGCTGTTCTAACCAATTTAGCCAGTTAGTCTAAATAATAGTTGCACTGTTGGGGCAGCTACAACTGTTTTAGTGCCTGCAGGTAATTCTCATTGTTACTAGCTCTAGAGGCATGCAAAGGTGCCTTGGCTGGTATCTTAGTTTCCTATATCTTGAGGGAAAGGTAGTTCTTTTTTGTTTGTTTTTGTTGAGCCTGATGAGCTAAAAAAGCATGAAGTACTACTGGCTAACCTTTACCACATCATGTATTTTATTGTGTGAGAAAGCTTCAAAGTTTTTAGGTACTGCACAGGATGACTGGATTTCTTTTTGTAGTAATCAATTTTGATCTTGACAAGTACTGTTCAATTGGATAGTTAATTGGTCGAAGACCCCGAAGTTTTACTGTCCCTAAGCCCCTAAATCAACTCAGTTTTGAGGCATCTAAACTTCTGGGAGGGTCTAGGTTGGGTCTTAGACTGGGCTTATGGTTTGAATATAACTTATGCAAAGTTTGACTTGCAGTATCTGTGTGATCATATATTTAGCTTCGGATAAAGTTTGACTATTTAGTAGCCACTATAGCATTCACATCAAATTGATTGAGCTTTTAATTGGTCAAGGGAAACATAGAATACCTATTTATCCTTTGGGAGGGGGAAAAAAAACCCCAACCTGCAGGCTTAATGTGGGCTTGTGGATATTCTCCCTGTTATTAACTTTTGTGCTTTTCCTCTCTGTGAGCAGCGGAATAATAATTTCAGATAGGTTCTAGCTAAGCTTAAATGCAGGATTTTTAATTCATATTACTAAACTAAAAATTGTTATTTGTTGGTTTTATTAAATCAAGTACATTAGGTGAATGGCTCTTAGGCCATGGACCTTATTTGTCCTGAGGGGCGCGTTGTATAAAGTTACCTGCTGTAAAGGGTGTGTTCAGAGTCAAATGTTCATAGCTGACTTCACAGAATCCTGTCCTGAAATTATACAACATTGAAACCTGTACTAGAGAATCAGTTTAAGATAGCTCTTAAAAAAACCCAAAACAAATAAGCAAAAAAACCCCACAACCCAAGCTCACAACTTTTTCAAAGACTATAAAATAATCACAAGTAGGCTTTTATATGCAGCTATTGAGATCTGTGTGAGAACTGAGTATGAGTTACAGTGGTGGTGGTGATTACTGTTAAATGCTTTCATTGCAAAACCATTCTAAGGATAACAAAAATAAGATTAAAAACGGTAGTCTAGTGCACTTTAGTTTAACTTCCCTTTCCCCACCCCTCCCCTTCCCCCAAAGCTGCCACAGTTTTTCCCAGCTGGTAAAATAAATTACGAGACTTGTGCACTTAGAAGTCACCTATTTAGAGAGTAAAATATTACTTGCCAGCATGTGAAAACTAGTTGAAAGCTAAAGCCAGATATGTAACATCTCAAACATTTGTTGAGTTCCTAGGCTATTATAAAATCACACAATGCAACGATAAAATGTATTCTAGTCCTAATAAGTTACTGAATGTTTAAACTTCAGTAGTAGACCCTCTGATCAATCCATTCTACTAAATAACAAGTCACAGATAACAAGTAACAAATCCATGTAACTTTTTTTGCTGTCTTACACTATTGGGTTTTTTTTCTGAATAAGTAAGTAGAGATACAGTCTTACTGTAGGTTTTGGGTCTTCTTAGTGCTCTCTTTTTCCTATAAGCAAGTGCTGTTATGCTGTCTTTTGGCTTCAAGACTGTGGTGAGTTAACTTTGGCCAGCAGCCTCGTGCCCAACCAGCCAGCCACTCTACCTCTGCAAGAGAATGGTTGCCTACCAATTACTATCATGGGCAAAACAGACTTAGGGAAAATTAATTCAGTTTGTTGCCAATTAAAGTAGATTTGGATATAGAGAAACAAAGACAAAAAGACTTAACACCATCTCCTACATCCCCGTTTTTCCCAAGTTCAACTTACCTCTTCATTCCTGACTCCAGTATCTCTTCCTCCCTGGGCAGCACGGGGGATGGGGAATCAGAGTTGTGGTCAGTCCAGAGCATTTTGTCTCTGTTGCTCCTTTCTCTTCATGCTTTGCCTCTGCTCCAGTGTAGGGTCAATCCTATGGGCTGAAGTTCTTTCAGGAAATACCCATCTCCTCCAGCATGGAGCCACCACAGGCTGTGGTGTGGACATAGGCTCTGCTCCATAGCACGTCCTCTCCCTCCTTCTCTGACCTTAGGGTTTACACTACTGCTTCACACTCTCTCTCTTTCCTTGCCTATGTGACTTTCTGGCCCTTTAAAAATAAAATTCCTTAGAGGAACTGCCATCCTGGATGTTTGCTTCAGCTGTGCCGCCCTGCTGCCAGCACCTGGGCGGTTGCAGCTCGTACAACCCAGAGATAGGTGCCTTTTAGCACTTTAGTCACTCTGAATAATTTAGGAGTTAACTTTTTGATTAACAGCTAGTGTTCTAATTGGCTTTCCTTTTGTGACACTAAGCCTAAAGCTGGCATGTTCTTACTTCTCTTTGGTGCTACTTCTACATATTGTATCCTCAGGTTTATGTTCAGCTGCAGTGCTGAACAAGTCAGGCAAGAGGACATCATTAACTAGTTATAAAATTAAATAGACTTTTTTTTACCTTTACAACAGATTTATATATAAGGGTTATTTTAAGCAGTAATAGAGCCTTCAGGAAGAAAGGAGCATTTTGGGGGGGATATTGCTAAATGAAAACTGGCAAGTAAGAATATATTGTTCTTGAAGTGGATAAGGTTATTTATGGAAGAGACAGTCTCTGCGTTTTTAAGGGTATCTGGTCAAGGACCTTTTTCAACTTGAAAACAGGATAGTAAGAAGAGGAAAAAGCCATAAACAAAACCTGCCAAGGACACAAACCTGAAGGAGGAACAGTAAGAGAGATGGTGATGAGGACCAAACCTTGCCACTGATTGGTGTGGGTGTGTGGGAATATTAATTTCATCAAGTTTATCTGAGAGGAGATTTGGCCCTAGGAAACCAAGGGAAAAGGGGGACATCAGAACCAAAAATACACAGACCTAAGGAAACAAGAGAGGAGACAATGAAGAGAAACCAATCTGCCAGTCACACTAGTTGATGGGCCATTAAGAAACCACAGGCACCACTTCCAGGAATATCAGCCTGGCCTTTGCATTTGTTAAGGCTGTAAACCAGGGGGATCCTGCAGAGGGCTGGGAGAGGTGCTGCAGCAGGAGTGAGGAGGGGACAAAGTAGGGCTAGGCAGCAGAGGGTATAAGGGGATAGTTTTCTATAAAGCTGGGCTGGTCATTACTCTTGTCTGACTGAGCCTTTTGCCTGATGGCTGCAGTCTGTCCTGTCTTCTTAGATCTTCTTATAAAATCTTTTCTTAATTTTCTTTCTGGATAATCTGACTGTACCCCATGAACAAGTGTGGTGCAAGGGTGAAGTGCCAGCTACGGGTGAGAGCTATGTGTGTGAGTGAATGGGATGTCAACTAGTGTAGTGAGGGGGGGATGTTTCAGTGCCAGCTGCTCAGGTGGCTGGGGGTTTCAGCTTCCAGGCTCCAGGGTATGAATGGTGAGTGTCCTGGAAACTGGTTCCCGCAGGCAAACTGTGGAGTGAGAGGCAGAGCGACAGCAGCTGGAGCAGCACTGTGGGCTGTAGCCTATGTGCCTGATGCCCACTAGTGGGGGGGCAGGTGTCTTATCTTCCCAAACCTATTGTTCATGTGAACTTACTAGCAAACTTCAAGCTGGACCAGACAGTGCACAGGGACCTGCGTGATGGGTGTGAGGGCCTGGGATCTGGGCAGGGGAGTTGGGTGGACAGAGGGAGCTGCGCTGGTATTTGCAGAACCCGTGAATGTGTGTGTAGTGCCAAGTGTGCACCTGCACTAGCAACCTTCTGCTTCTGCCAACTGAAGAAAAGGAAGGGGACTTAGCTTTCTGTGCTTGTGTTCTTGAGTTCTGCAGGTAGGTGCTGTGGAAGGCAGCACCTGGTCTGTGGCAGCCTGTGTGGCTGGCTCTTAGTGTCCTCTGTGTGTGTCCCTGGGATGCATGCTGGCTTTGCTACTAGGTGAACCTGCCAAAGGGAAAGTGTCCCTCAGCCTGGGTAGACACCCTGAGCCATAGGGCTGGGCTCCAACAGCCAGGCAGGAGGCAGTCCTTAGCCGAAGTGCCTGGAAGAAGCAACCACTTCTCACATCCCTTAACAATTTATAATTGTCAAATTTTATGTGAAGATGTCTTTAAGTATTTCTGCTTCTAGCAGTGAAACAATATGCTTTTGGAATTTAGAACCACAGAATCATTAAAGTTGGAAAAGGCCTTCAAGATCATCAAGTCCAACCACCAGCCCTATACCCCCGTGACTACTAAACAATCTCCCAAAGTACCATGTCTACTCTTTTTTTGAGCTCCTCTAGGGAAGGTGCCTTCACCACCTCCCTGGGCAGCCTGTTCCAATGCCTCACCACTCTTTCTGAAGAAGTTGTCCTGCTATCCACTCTGAACCTCCCCTGGTGCAACTTGACCCCATTTCCTTACGGGTGGTACTCAGGAGTTGAGTGTAAAAGGCATTTGTCAAATGGTTCAGTGCGGTGGGTGACCTTATATTTCTGAAAAGAAAATTCTGTTGTTCTTGACCTTACAATTAAATAAATAAGTAAAGATTGTGCTTAAGTGAAATAAACTATGACACAGTGCAGCTTACATTTCTAGGACTCTATATTTTTGTAGTAGACTTGAAAAAATGAATCAATTGCCCATGTTCTATTTCAGGCTGAGAAAACTAATAGGATCATATTGAATTTTAAAATCTTTTGAGTGAACATACATAGCCATGTTTAACTTGTGTCCAGAAAGACATGCGGTGACATCTGTTATCAGAGGTTGCAGAAGTTCACTGGATGTGTAAAACTACTTTCATTTTTCTAACATAGCCATTTATGTAGGATGTTATCACCTTCCATGTTTTCACAACAGTTAATTTTGTTAGTTCGTTGTAATTTACTCCTGTAAAGGAACATCATGATCCATTCTCCTTTTTGACTTTGAAAGCTGTATTTACTTTGATGTGAAAACCTTTTCTTTTCCAGATCTTCAAGATCTAATACTTGCTCTGTGTTAGTGGAACATGAATTACACTGTTGCAATGAGTTTCTGTTGTTAAGTTTTACTTACACTGATAGATTTGGCTAATCTTACTCTTCCTTCCTTCTTGGCAGCCGATTTATTTTGCACATTCCAAGTGAAGAGAGAGACAATGCAATCAGAGTGTGTTTTCAGATTGAACTTGCCCATTGGTTTTATCTGGATTTCTATATGCAAAACACACCAGGATTACCTCAGTGTGGGATAAGAGACTTCGCTAAAGCTGATATCCTTTTTATTACTGTCTCAGTGGATAAAGTGCAAACTGAATATTGTTAATTACATTTCATAATTGCACTAGGAAAACGTCAGTTCATGTGTTAGTGATGAAAGGCTAGTATTGCTAGGTATGTAATTTTATATGTTTGTTGCTTCTATAATTTTGTGGCATCCACAAAAGTGATGTTTCTCAGATGGCTAAAGAACTATGGGAAACAGGTAATTTCTGATCTTAGGGGATTTTTCCTCATGGTTGCACTCTGTAGACTATCTGTGTTTCAAAGATGAGCTGTTGGAGCTCTTCGTCGTGCTTTATCTCCTTAATGTAATTGCTTTCCAAGTAAACAGTGACATAAATCTTACCGTAGTTGAAGGTGTTATGTAGTATGTGTAGTGGTATTGGATTTACTGACAGTTGCTCCTAGAAACAGTTCTGTTAGTAAGGGGGGAGGATTAATTTTTACTGAATTCCTATGGTTGGCCCCTGCTTTTTTCATCACTTACAGGGGCTGCTGGAACATTCACTATCTAGTCTTTGCTGGAGAAAAACTCTTGACTTTCATCCAGCAAGTGTTTTACTTTTAACCTTTTCCCATATATTCTTGATATGGGATTTGAGTATTGCTTCTAACATTCATATTATCTGTGTTTTCACTACACAAAATACTTCTCCGTTAGTTTGATAACAGAGATTTACTTTCAAGCATTAAAGCTTTAATTTCAACGATGAACTGTAAACATATGATAACTTTCCATTGCTTGATATTATGCAGGGTTTTTAATTTATTTTAGGTATGATTTGAATTATAAATGTATTTTCAGACCAGTAGAATTCTTCTAGTAGCAGTAGGCAGTGCAGGAAAAATACAACATTTATCATTACACCTATCCTTCTCCAACTCACATTTGTCAGAAGTATTAGTTCTGTTGCTATGCCATATTTATAAGTACTCTACTATGGAATATTTGTTATTTGTAGTGTAATTTTATGTGTAAAATAAATATTAATACCTTTCTTAAGAACTTGTAGATTTGCTTTTGAAGTTTTAGAGTTATAAAGGTTGTTGATGTTTTCTCTGCATGATGATTTTTGGTTAAGTGCATTAGAATTTGGACTCTGTAACTTGATGCCACTAAAAATAACTTTTAGCATAGTAGGTACTAAAGTACAGGTACTGTAGTCTGACAACTGATTGTGGGAAAAATCTATCTCCATTTAATTGAAGCAGGAGATGAAACTGTATTTTTGTCTGTGTTTCTCACTTAAAAATGAAGAAAAAAAAAGTAAGAATAGTATGTATTCAAAATAAGTGTTATGTAGATAATTTTTAATTAAAAATTAAAGGAGACTTTCCTTCAAACAGCCTTGCAGCATCTTTTTTCTTTTTTTCTTTTTTCTTTTTGTTTTTAATTTATTTGTATTAGAATTACCAAATTACTTGCTACTTTGCAACCTTTAGAGTTTGGTCATGGATTCTTGGTAATATTTTTTACTTCCAAGAAAAAGCACTTAGGGGAGGGAAGATTTTTGTTGTAAATATTGAGTGTGCATCATTTGTATGTCTGTGTGTGATTTGAAACTGGATGCGTATGTTTATCTTCCTTAACATGCTGCTGTACTCTTCAATCACTGCCCTTTTCTACTGCCTCAAGGTGAAGATGTACAGAAGGTTTTAGATGAGTGGAAAGAATACAAAATGGGAGTGCCAACATACGGTGCAATTATTCTTGATGAGACACTTGAAAATGTAAGTATGGAAATAGCTGTGAAAGGCTAGAAGGAAGGCTGGCATATGGTGGCATAAGTAACCTTTTTGTTTACATTTTTCATCTGGAGAAAAAAAATAGATGCTTAAGATTCATAAAACTTGACAGTTACTAGACACTGAGTGTGTACAGAAACACAATGTGGGAGGCAGTACACACACTTCCACTTGCTTTCCTACTCAGTTTTGTTTGTTGTTTTTTTTTTATTCTGAGTTGTATGATCCCATTAAAAATGGTGCAGTTCTTCCTAGAAAACCTAATGGGACAGTGAAGGGAAGGCATTTAATAGGAATTAGAGTAGTGTGTGTTTGACATTTTCATTCCCTTGTATTTTTCAGGTTCTTTTGGTTCAGGGTTATTTAGCAAAGTCTGGTTGGGGATTTCCAAAAGGGAAAGTAAATAAAGAAGAGGCTCCTCATGACTGTGCTGCTAGAGAGGTAAGTTATGTATGATTTCCTTAAATTTAAGCTAAATAAATGAATTTTTGCTGAGAGCAGGATATATGCATTGAACGAAAAGACATTTTACTTAGGTATCTCTTTACCTAAATCAGGTAAAATATCTGCTCTTGTTTATGAGGAAAAGGATTGAATTAGTTTTCTTCACAGTTGCACTGAATCAGCACCTGGTAAAGAATGAATTTGATTTTTTTTTATATACTTGTCAAACATACATGAATGAAAAATTCTGTATTTCTAATTCCCTGATGGTGCTTTCTGTATCACTCATGTATTTAATACAGACTTGGAAAAGCAAAATGAGGTGTTAGATCTTAGCATTGCACTATTATGTGATAGACACACATGACATGCACTTCCATGTTGGCAGTTACTGATCTCTTAAGTCTAGAACATAATTTGTGCAGTATCAAATTAGTTGCCAAAGGGTGAAACACCTGAGCTACAGATGCAGCAGGCTGTCATTGCAGAGCTCAAGGGCTGGGGAAGGATAAGCAGAAACTTAATATAGTTAACTTGATTGTTTAATGGGTGTCTCTTTCCTGCAACCCCATAAATGTTGTTCAGTTAAACTTTTACTAGTCAGGTAATTTTAGAGTTGGTCTAAAGGACTGAACTGAAGGGAGCAGGGACCATAAAAATATATAAACCACAGCACAGTGGACGTCACAAATTAGGTGTTAACTGCTTCAGGAAGGAGAGAAGTGAAGTATGCCTTCCTCTACTACAAGTTACGCTAGCAAAAGCATGTAAGTGGACACAGTTATACTGGGGAAAAAAAATCTTTGGATGGTGATTTTAATATAGAGAGTTGGTTTAGATTACACTGGTGAACAAACACTCTTACCATGATCTTTTTCCATCAAGGTAGATTGTCATTCTGGATAAACTGGCAAATTCTTCAAGGCTTACATGTGGCCAGGAGCTGGAATGCCTTTAATATCCATTCATAAATCCTGTAACTGCTTTTACTGGTGTCAGCACAGGTCTAAAACCATAAACTTCATCTGTATGAGGTCTAATTGAAGAGGTCTTCACTGGGCGGTGCCTACACAGTTGAATAGTATTTCAGAAGCTGATTAGGGCAAAACCACAATTTACAGGTATTTCTCTTAGTAAAAGGAATTTCTGCAATGAATTCACTTAAATAATCTGAAAAGATAATTTAGGAAGGTAATACTTGGTCATTATTAACAAGAGTAAATATGGAGGAAAAGCATGTCTTTTCTTCCTTGAAACGATAGGTGATTGGTGTGTTTTTTGGGTTTTTTGTTTTTTTCCACCTAAACTCCTCTGTTCCTAATGTAATTAGATAGGAAGATGCTCTGCTTTTGTTGTGATAGGAGTGTATGTGTGAATTTGAAAACTGTGGATTATTTTCTTTGTATTATACACTACTATTTTTCATATTTGTGCTTAATTCCTCTGCATTTTCAGAAATTGAACTTAACAACCATTTTGCTGATACCAATGTATATATTGTTATTTTGTTCAATGTATTTTGAGTATTCCCTGCTATTATTATTTGATGTGTAGTTTTTTAGTTCTGTTTTTCATTATATGCCCCCAAAAGAGTTGGAGGTTGAGAAGAGGTTTTACTGAAGGTCCTGTCCCTCTTTTTAATTCTAAAACTGACCTTTAAAAACATTAACTGAGGATTTCTGCCTTTACATTATTGGGTTAACACCCAGTTTTGTGAGGGATTGTTCACATGCATGTTCCACTGTCTGGGCAGAAATATTTTTGACAGTGTTATCAGTCTTGCATGTTTTCAGAGTACTTGTATTTCCTGTGGAGATTTTGAAGACTACAAAGTTTCTAAAAATGAGTATTTACTTAGCAAGCTTAGAGGCCTGATCTGATTTAAGCTATTAGGTGTGCTTCATGTGAATCTCTTTATATTTTAAACCTTGTTTACTTAAGAATGTTGTCAAAAGTAAATATCTTGAAGTAAGGCTTTGAGCAACCTGGTCTAGAGAAAGATGTCCCTGCCTCCAAAGATCATCAAATCCAACCCCCCTGCTAGAGAAGGACAAAAACCAAAACGATACAAAACACAAACACACCAACTAGGGCAGATCACTTAGAAAGGCATCCATATGGGTCTTGAAAGTCTCCAGAGAAGGAGACTCCACAACCTCTGGGGAGCCTGTTCCAGAGCTCTGTAACCATTACAGAAAAGAAGGTCTTCCTCATGTTGAGGTGGAACTTCTTGTGCTTGAGTTTGAACCCGTTCCCCTTGTCCTATCACAAGGCACAAGTGAAAAGAGATTGTCCCTGGCTTCTTGATGCCTGGCCTTCATCTATGTATAGACATTGATTAGATCTCTCCTCAGACTTCTCCTCTCTAGACTGAAAAGCCCCAGGTCTCTTAGCCTTTCTCATAAGGCAGGTGTTCAAGTCCCTTAATCATCCTTGTAGCCCTCTGTTGGACTCTCTCAAGTAGATCCCTGTCCCTCTTGAACTAGGGAGCCCAGAACTGGACACAGTACTCCAAGTGAGGTCTCACCAGGGCTGAGTAGAGGGGGAGGAGAACCTCCCTTGATCTGCTGGAGACACTCCTCTTAATGCACCCCAAGATACCATTGGCCTTCTTGGCCACAAGGGCACATTGTTGTCCCATAGATAATTTGTTGTCTACCAGGACTCTAAGGTCCTTCTCAAGAGAGCTGCTCCCTAGCAGATCACCTCCTAACCTGTACTGGTGCATTTTGTTGTTCCTTCCCAGGTGCAGGACTCTGTATTTGCTCTTGTTGCACCTCATTATATTCCTTTTTGCCCAGCTCTCCAGTCTGTCCAGATCTTGCTGAATGGCTGCACAGCCTTCAGGTGAATCAGCCAATCCTCCCAGTTTCGTGTCATCAGCAAACTTGCTGAGAAGACACACTGTCCCATCATCAAGGTCATTGATAAAGATGTTGAACAAGACTGGACCCAGCACTGGTCCCAGGGACTCCACTAGTTACAGGTCTCTAGCTGGACTCTGCACCATTGACCACCACTCTTTGGGCTCTGTTGTGTAGCCAGCTCTTAATCCATCTGGCCATTCTTTCATCTTGCATATCTTGAGCTTACTCACAAGGATGTCACAGAAGACTGTCAAAAGCCTTGTTAAAGTCAAGGTAGACTACATCCACTGGTCTACCTGCATCTATCCATTCAGTCACTACATCACAGAAGGCTATCAGGTTAGTCAAGCATGATTTCCCCTTGGTAAATCCATGCTGACTACTCCTGATAAACCTTCTGTTCCATGTGTTTCAAGATGACCTCCAAAATGAGCCGCTCCATCATTTTTCCAGGAACGGAGATGAGGCTGACTTATCTGTAGTTTCCTGGATCTTCCTTCTTGTCCTTTTTGAAGACTGGAGTGACATTGGCCTTCCTCCAGTCCTCAGGCACCTCTCCTGTTTGCCATGATCTTTTGAAAATGATGGAGGGTGGTAGGGCATAACACTTCTTTTTTTTTTTTCCTTGGAGTAGCTGACAAAGCATTTTTAAGTTTGTTGGTCAGTGTGAATGTGCAGTTTGAATTTTGTAGTACAAGTTTTGCTACACTATTGCTGGGTTTTGTTATAAAATAATTTTATGTATTGGGGGTAGAAAGATCATGAAGTAGAAGGATTGTCAAAAGAGAAGAAAAATGGAGGTGCAAGTAAACCTTGCTAGAATTTGAAGAGGACTTTACTCCCCAAATAGTAGGTTTAACTGAGAATTAAGATTTCCATGAATCCAGCAGCATGGAGGAGCAGCTAGAAGGTCCCTGTCTATATTAATAAATTGCTACATGAAGGTGTAATGAAGAAGTTTCAACTTCTATCACAGGTCTGTCTTAGAGAAATGTAAAGCACATAGGATCTCAGATACTTTTTCTGTTATTGAGTATATATGTGTAAAGACTTGTTTTTCTCTGTAGTGGCCCATTTTTATGGACAGATGTGAAAAACAGGCATTCCTTCTCTGCTGATGGTGGGTTCTGAAAGGATAAATCTGAATACATGTGCTGATTTCATCTGTATGCTTCCTAGGTGTTTGAAGAAACTGGCTTTGACATAAAAGATTATATTCGCAAAGAAGAATACATTGAGCTGAGAATTAACGATCAATTAGCACGGCTGTACATCATTCCAGGAGTTCCCAAGAACACAAAATTCAACCCTAAAACTAGAAGGGAAATTCGGGTATGTGTTATCTTGTTTGAATCTGTAGGAACCTTATTGTGAAGCTTGATTTTTACAGCTAATTTTGTAAAATTAAGAACCCACCAAGCATGATGAATACCTCAAATGCTGGGTACAAATAGGGTCTCTACACTGTAGGGTTTTGTGAACCTCATGCACCTCTACTGCAAAGACTTATTCTTCACCATCTGTCTGATGTCTCTGTTAATAATGAAAACAACATTAGAGCATGCTGTCGCAGTGTAATTCTCTCCTTCTTTTCTCTGTGGTGTTGTATATGTTAGTAATTTCATGTTATTCCTAGTTATAGCTACATATATAACTATATATTCTTCTGAAGATGTAATTATTAATTGGTGATCTACAAAAGCTTATGTAACAGAAGGGTTGTGTCCTCTCTTTCATGGCTAATAACATCCAGACGTAGAGAACAGCGTATTCTAAGGACGATGTTGGGAAGGGGACACAAAATCAGAACTATTTTGAGTAGTTTCTGTACCATTAGGCTTTTAAAGGGTATAGTAGACTTATTGGAAACTTTGTTCCTGGTACTCATAACCTTTGAAGTTTGACTATTTTGTATTGCAATTCAGTTTAAAACAGCTATCCACATACTTTAATGCAGATGGTACCACTGAGCATCTGGCTTTATAAATAGGAAAAGGTGCTTGTAGTTGTCTAGCCAGGAATCTCTTATTTTCCTGCATTAGATACCTCTGTTTCGAAATATGAAAGTAAAGGCAGATGAACTTTGATTTTTTCTTTAAGTGTATGGTAAATACTTCCCTTTGTATAACTGTCATCACCTGGGGGTGATGAAGAGTTCTGACAATGTCAGGTTTTTGTCTCCCTACTGACGCACAGTCTCCATCTGTTGTAATACAACTGGGCATGCCATTTTTGTATTTCCTGTAGAACTATATTGAAAACCTGTTGAGTTTGTAACTTCTTTCCATAATATGCTTATTATCTGGACCTGGGGTTTTGGGCCTAGGTTCTGCAATAGAAAAGCTCATGTGGCTTTTATACTCACTGTGTATATTCAGAATTCTTGATTTTCTTCTCCATTCTGCCAAGTATACAGTTTTAATATTTTAAACTATGTATATGTATAAAGGATAACACAAGTCCTATCCTTACCCATATTCCTTACCTTTATAACAAAAACAAAAACTTAATCTGCAAAGTAAATCTCCTTCTTTCCCATAAGTTCTGAACTAGTGTTGGTGGTGTAGTTTTGATGCCATTTTAAATAAAGGAGTCGTAATGACTTTGAAAGTTATTTAAAGCCTCTACCTTTATTTATGTCATTCAGTATGCAGTGTGCTGGGCTTTTTTAGCTGGTTGGTTTTTTGAAACCCTGGTTTAGAATTTAGTTGCTGGATAATACCTTGCCTGTATCTTGCAATGAGTATGTGCTGTACCATCTGTTACTCTGTAGTTGAAGTCAGAAGAATGACTCTGTTGTTAATCAAAAGAATGACTCTGTTGTTAATCAACCTTTTGTGAAAAACACTGTTGAAGCTCATTAATTAAAGTCTTCCACTGTAATTTTTTAATTAACAGAGATAATTGTAATTGAGACACATTTGTAACATTTGATAAGGCTACAGTAGTGGATATTCTTATTTTATTTCTTTTTTTTCCAGAATATTGAGTGGTTTTCCATTGACAAACTACCATGCCACAGAAATGACATGACCCCGAAGTCCAAGCTCGGGTTGGCACCTAACAAATTTTTTATGGCAATTCCTTTCATCAGGTATGTTTGAGATGAGGCAAATGCTAGGCCATTGCCTTTCAGGCAACTTTAGTTTCTCTAGATTTGTTGCAGGAAGTAGATGTTGTTACATTTCTCCTTACTTCCAGGCCATTGAGGGAATGGATTTCCCGGAGGAATGGGGATTCCTCAGATAGTGACAATGGATTTTCATCTACAGGTAGCACACCCTCTAAGCCCAACTTGGAAAAAGCTAGGTAAGAACCAGGTCAGTTTAACACCTCTATATCTGTTCTATAAAACATTGGTCATATGAAGCTGGTTGTCCTTCCTCTTTCTCTGAGTATTTGTGTGCTAATAATAGAATGGGTTATTAAAAAAATAAAATTGTGGGCATATCTCAAGGGACTATAAATAGGATGAGAAGTTAATTAGTGACATGATATGATACAGGTTTTTTTTTAAAGTCTCATATGTGTCAGAACTGAGATAATTTCTTGACTCCTGTCTGTGAGAATCCAAAAAACATAAGCTAAAACAAGTAGATAACTTTCAAGTGCTTTTGGCGCTTCCACAAAGGGAAAACAGGACTTTCTAAAGTAGAACTGTAAGTACTATTGGGAGTAGCTAGCTAGATAAAACCTGTGGGGGGTCAGCAGGGAAAGAAGTGCTGGTGGTTTTTTATTCAGCTGAGCTAAAAATGGTAGAGCAAACTTTAAAACCAGTAGTTCCAAAGAGAAGGCTAGGTACATCAAGTTGGGTCAGCACCAACACTGACAACAGGACCTACTGTCCTGCTGAGTGTGCAGAACACAGATTTCCTACCAGCAGGCAAAATGAAGTGTGAATGCAGGGAGCATTATTACAGTTTCCACACTGATTAATTAAGCTTGTCTTCCAGGTTGTTCTCAAAAGGCAGAAAATTATTTCATGTTTTTATTCTGCTGTCAATAAGTCTGAAGTTGTGTTGTAAACTGTTTTCCTGTGCTAGATCCAAACTTCGCTGTAGTCAGCAGATGTTTACAGAGAGCTTTTCAGGAGAGCAGTGTATGAAGCCAAAACAGCCACAGAAGCCATATAATCATCCTGAGATGTCTGAAGCTTTGAAAATAAAGGTAGATTTTTTTCTTAGGCAAACATGGATCTGGGCTATGTTAAATGTATGTCTTTGTTCCTGAGAATTTCTCTTTGCAATAAAAATACTGAATTTTATTACCACAAAATGCAAAACTAAAAACATAAAGAAAAAATACCTTGGGGATTCTCAGACTTATCTGTCATTATCAGGTAGTAGTTGTGTTGTTTCAAGCATAGAAAGCAATTACTATTCACCATTTTGGTGTCCTCCTTTGTACCATTTTGAAATCTTTTGGATACCACTAGTATTTATGAATCATTGTATGGGAGCTCACTGAACTGAATTTATTGTGTAATTCAGTGTTGCTAATAGTGCAAGAGAGACTGAGTAACTGCTGATGAGTCTCTAACTTGAGTGTATGTTTGGTTAATTTCAGTGTGGTTCAGCTTGTATACAAAAAATACCCTTTACATGTTTGAGGTTATTTGGAGGAAGGGCCTAACTAATAAGTAGGAAATTTCAGTGCAGTGATTTTCAATGCTGCCATTTAAACTTTTCTCTTTACTGTATTTTGGACTTAATGGTAGAGTCAGAGCTTGAGGAGCAATGGCAGAAAACAGTATCAAGAGACTTCCAGCCAAAAGAAGCGAACAAATGGAGTCCACAACCAACCAGTTAAGCAAAATCATACCTTGGTAAGAAACACACCGTGGCTGTCTTATTAACAGGCTCCAGTAATGCTTAATGAATGTGCAGGCTAGTAAATAATCCTGCAACTTTCCAGGTTCCTGTCAGGTAATAGCCTACTGTAGTGCATCATGGTAAGTCAGTGTAGTACACGACTTATTTGTGCATGATATATTACTGTAGGTATGAAGTTTTGTTATGCAAAAATTAGATACAAAGTGGTAAAGCATGTGCTTATTTCCCTCTTTCCAGCAAAAATGTTGAGAGGCAGACTTGAAAGCCAGTATCTCATATAGTTTTTAATCATACAGTAGAACTGCAGCAGTTTGTAAATTCCAGTATGACATTCTTGGTTTTATTACCTTTCTCTTGCAGTAACTGAGTGTCTTTGTCCCCACAGTTCTGCTGGCTGGCAGAAAGCTTGCTGAGATGTCTCTCTTTTCTAATATAATGTCTTTTTTATTTCCTCCCTGCTTCTCCCCACCCTGCACTATTCTTGATGGCTCTCCAGTTCTACTTTGTTGGCTCTTGTACATCAGTGAGCCCCAGTTCTCTATGCAGCTCAGCTGACTTGTCCAAGCTTTAGTTCTTGTTTACTGGCTGTAAACTAGATCCTTCCCATTCTGGTTTGTGGCTATTACCTTGTATCATTTTTATTTTTTTTTTTGTAAAAGTGCAGAAGCCATAAAATCTTTTCCTATATTATCCTCATTGTAGCAAGAAACGGTTAGTTGTGTTTGGGTCTGAGAGTAGAATAATGAGGAGTCAAAGAATTGGCTGGCCAGAAATTTGCTAATATAGAAAAAAACTAATGGGAACCTAATGGCATCTTAATAGAAACAAGTGGAACTATTAATACTCTGCAGTTACTTTGTAGGCTCTTTACAGACTATGGTAAATAATTCCATGGTGTTTCATTTGCATTTTCATGATTGTCAGTCTTTTGAAGTTTAAATATTTCATATCCCAGTTATAATTTTCAAATACAATTTAGAATCCATGGAACTCTTTAATTCATAGAGAGTGCAAAGGGCCATACTTTTCCCTGTATTTGTACACTTACAGCAGCATATGTGGGGCTAAAATATTAACTCTTCCCTGGAGAGTTCTAAGTTTGTCTCTAATTCATGCTAATTTAATTTGCAGTAGCAGTCTTTTTGCAAATACCTTCCCCTTGCTTTATTTGGGACAAGCTAATCGAAGAACAGGCTTATGCATGTACTACTTTGTTTCCACACCATCATGTGCAAGACCTTTCCAGCTTAAAACATTATGAAAACACAAGTTTCCCCCAAAAGACTGTGCTTTTAAAATGTTTTGTTAACTGTTAAAAGGTCGTATGCTTCTGAAAGACTTGTGGACTTCCTACATAAAATAGCATGACACAATTCATGCTGAGTTATAAGAAAAAATAATGTACATATTAGTTGGGGTGATATAAAAATATAATGCTGGTTTTTTTCTTAAGTGTGTAATGTATGGTACTTCTCTTAACCAGAAATGTGAAAAAAGGCTTAATCCAAGAAGACTTCAAGATAACTTTGAAACAGGCAAGTGAAGTCTGATTTTTCATCCATTGTCATGTATTATGGGCTGAAAGCACCTGAACAATGATGGTTGAGTATTTTTCCCTGTATGCTAAATGTTGTAAGAAGCTTTGTTTCTCTAAAGCCGTCTGAGTTCTTTCGTTTATTATTTGGCTAACTTCATGTGCTGCTTCTTGTTGGTTTTACAATGCTTCTCCCTAATAATTAAGACTGCCAGATTATACCAGGTGGATGAGTAAAAAGTAACTGAAGGCTGGTTTAGGAAAACAGCGTAAGAGGCAACAAACACAATGCTGGTAATTGTGTGTTGGCTCAAGGCTTTCTTTCTGTCCTGCTAGTGATAATCTGCAATTGATATTGGACTTCTCCAGAGAGTCACACAATACTTTCATTACTGTTCAGAAAACAGGGATATATTTCTTGTTTATTTATGAAATGATGTGCAAAACAGAACCTGTGGGTAAAACTGGCTATTCAAAGTGTCCCTAGATTGCCATGACTTTTAAAATTTGTCCTAGCCACTAGATGAATTGTAAAAATGGTTGTTTTTTAGGTTACTGTGTTCTGTTTATGATCAGACATACAGATTTTGTCATAAATATTAATTGAATATATATTTGAGGTATAGTTTTGTATTGTTATTGATACTCATATTGATAATGATCTGTTTAAAATTTGTTTCATGCTTTTTTCTCTTTAAGCAGATGCAGTGTATGAGATGTGTTGCTCCAGTGAAGAGCCACTTCCAGAACATGTAGAGGGACATTCTGTGGCATGCAATGGCCATTACAAATTTGCTTTCTCATCAAGAGCTTTCCTGAGTTTCAAGTTTGACCATGATGCCATAATGAAAAGTTTCGACCTCTGACAACAAACATTAGGAACAAAAATCAGACCTGCCTGTTGCAATTGAGGGGGTTTCTTATCCAGCCTTACTCTTTCTCAGGAGTTTAGTTTAGTTTGTTTGTTTTTAAATGCAATGCAGGGACTAACTGGTGGTTTGGAAGGGTTTGTTCTCTTTGCAGTATGGGAGTGGCATAGACAAGTGTTGCACTTTAAATGCAGTATAGCCTTTGTCCACAAAAGTACCTTTCCAGTGTTCAGTTCACTTGTTCCTAGCTGTGCATTAGAGGGCATTCTTTTTTTTGTGTGTTGTTGTTGGTATTTTTTGTTTGGTTGTGTTGTGTGTGTGTTTTTGTTTTTTTTTTTAACTTACTGTGTGTTTTGTAGAATGTCACTGACTTTTTTTAAACTGTTGAGTATATCAGCTTGGTAAACTTTAACTGCTCTGATGTAAATTATTGGACTTGTTACTCATTATCGTGTAGCACATTGCAATATTATGGCAGTGGCAATGAAACTGATTCTCAGAGGACTCCTCTGTCCCAGTGATTTTGAAACTCAAGTTGCACATTTCAAACCTAGCCTCAGCCTATTATTCTTTCTCTGTCCCACTTGCTTGCCCAAAATACCTTCCCTCCCTCACACTGGTAGTTTCTGTTGGCTGGTGATCAGTAGTACTGAGTCAGATCTATAGCATTTTTACCTACTTTGCCTCCATCTTTAGTAAAGATACACAAACTGGGTAGAACTTAGCCATTCAAAGTGTCTAGCATCAACTCTAATGCACTGTGCCCAGCTGGGTAAGAAGAAGTTGCAAAGTTTTGTGTTATCCCACTTGCAGCTGCTTTAAAAAAGAAAAGCTTAAATTTTGTCTACGAGAGGTTACTTTTGTAGAATTTATACTGAATGTAAATAAGCCTCTGTAGATCTCACTGAGGAGAAAGGCAGGTGTGTGGGTAACAGGAGTAATTTTGTGACACTAAATGGCTTAAGCCAGGTTGCAATAACTATTCTAAGGATGTCCAGTATTGGATTCTGTGCTGTTGTCCTCAGATCTTTTGTGTAGTGTATGCTCTGTATATACTCCATAGTATCGAATTGCACTTGCAGTCAGCACTTAAATGATGTAGCCTCAGTTTTTTTCAGCTACAACACTTTGTAAGTAAAAGATGGGGGGTGGGGGGAGAGAAACAAACAGTAAGAGTTGAGGTGACAAACTGCTGAATCACCTTCCTGGTTCAAGTAAGGGGGTTTTGAACATGTGCTTTGCAGTTGAGAGAAATGCACTGAGATAATTTGTCACAGCAGCTTGTGGTAGCAAGCATGTTGTCCCAGACTTAAAAATGGACTTTTCTGTAAAATAAAGGTGAGTAATTGGTAACTTCATAGGTTGAATAAACTATGCCCTTGTCTGATGACAGTGTGTGCTCATGCGCTGGGTCTTTATGCAACTCATGTGTCATCCAAAAATGAAATCCTGGTCTTCCTTCAACCACCCTACTTCATCAGCCCTACCTGATCTGTTACCTAGTGCTTTTCTGCAGAAATAGCTTTAGAACTATCTCCGCATTTATTTATCTGCCTGGCACCAGGTGATTTGGGATTCTTATGCTGTAATAATCTGGTGATAGGAACGCTGAACTTCTGTATTAGTCAACAGGAGAAGCAGACTGCAGCATTTCCTTCTGCTGGAGGACAAGAGTCCTGAGGGCCTTGTCTTTCAAGACCAAATCTTGAAATAGTTCAATCTAGCTTTGTCTCTGTTTGTTGTTGATTTTGATGTTGTTGTTGTTGCTTGTTTTTGTTTTCTTTTTTAAAAAAATGATATCCAAAGGCTGTTCAAACCAGTAAATGGCAAAGAACAGTAATTGAGAAGGTGGTATCATGCTGGAGGAGGTTGTTACTCGGCTTCAGCTGAAAACTGATCTTTAGTTACTTCTTTAGTGTAAGTAGGTGATTTCCCAGCAAAAGTGCCTTTACTCATGGTGAGGCAGAAATTTGTATTCACATCCTGAGGCTGCTACTGCCTGTGGAGTTAACAAGACTCTCTTAAGGCATGATTAAAATATCAGGCTGTGGAAATCTTTTATAAGTTAACTTCTCAGAGGACTTAAGTTATATTTCATCTAGTGCTCTGTGAAATAAGGGGGATATTAATGAGTGAACTTGGAGCATCTGTCAACTGTTTGGGAAATCATATCCCAAACAGAGAAAATCTTTAGAATGAAGCAAGTATGTCCTATGAATAGGATATGCTGGCTGCCCTGTATATTCACTGGGTCATTTTTTTTCTTCTTGGTGAACTGGTTGCTTCATTAGCAACCCTAAGTGGGGCTTATACAAATATCATTATTTTAGTAAATCTAGCCTTAATGTGAGTTGCAAATAAATGTGATAAATAGGCAATAACTTCTTTGTAGAAGAGCACTGTTTCTTGTAGTAGCATTGCTTTCTGCTTTCTCGGTAAGGTTTCTGAAACAATGTAAGTGTGGTGGCATGTGATCTACCTTATGGGTTCCACCATGCCCTGCACTGTGAACGTTTTTAATTGTTTACTATTGTTTGTGTTTTTATTTTGTCATCCTTTTATAATTAAGTATATTTTTTAGTTTAGAAGTACCGTTTACATTATCTTTTATAAACCAGTGAAGAAATAACAAGTGAGATAAAGAATTTAGTTCCCTGAGTTTTTACTTTATGGGAGCTAGACACAGAGAAACAAGTAACTGTTTGCATGTCAGGCTTGAGAGCTGATGTCAAGATACTTGAAAAATAAACATTGCTCAGTTTGAGAATGCTGCCTGCAAGGGGTTATTCATATTATGAATGGTCATTCAATGTTCTTGAAATTGAAGAATTTAAGAGATTAAATAAATGTTTAACAATAAACCTATAAACGTGTGGGTGCTGGGAACCTAATATTAGTTTGCAGTTTCTAGTACTACATACACTCCCTGCTTGTGTGAGATATTTAGCATCTCTCCGTCTTCTCCTCCTGCTCTAAACTTTGAACTCAGACTGAAGTTTTATTTGCCTAACTGAAGGACGTCTGTGCTGAAATGCAATTAACTTCAACTCTTTGATGTACGTGCATGCTTTTGAAAGTAGCTGTGTCTTACATAGCTTGAAGTCTGGAAGCAGTGGTACTGGGAAGAAGAGGGGAAATAGCTTTATTTACTGCACAAAGTATTTTTTTAACACAGTGTAAATTCTTTAGATCAAACTTGCATAGGTAGTTTCTAATAAAATTTTGAGCCTAGTTGCTGGTCCAGAGTTCCGTGCTGTTCTTCAACATTCCCGATTTAATTTGGTGATTGGAGAACAATACTTGTGTTTTTCCTTTACCTATCTGTGGCTGTAATAAATGTAACAGTTCTTTTTGAAAACAAGGCAGGCTTTGGGCCTGGCTATTCCTAACAGACTTGCTCTCAGATTGTAAATTCAGATAAGAAAATACTTTCTTCAACTTTTATTTGCTGTAGTAGAGTTGCTTTTTTGATTTATAGTTTATAGCTGCACTCATGTTTTCTGGTGTGAAGAGCAAGACTCTACATTAAAAGTCCAATCTCTGATACCCTGTCGTGCAAGACAGTGCTGCTGCTCCATGGCTGACTGGCTGTCCAGTTGTAGGGTCAGTGGGCTGTTCAGTCCTCAGCTTCCTGTTTTTAACAAATTCTGAGCAACAGAGATGTTTTCAGAGGTTAAGTCAGGTGCCTTCATCTTTTAAATAAGGAGGTTACACTCTAAATGCATTAGGAAGCTCAGTATTGAGAACTGGTAGAGTAGTCTGACCTGTTGATTTAAAATACAGTTTATTTACAAAAATTAAGTTTTGCATGGTAAATGTTAAATGATCTGATGCTTATACTTGGGTCCATAATTTCAGATTTTTTTTGTTATTACAAAATTTCAGCTTTTGAAGCAACCAACATTATTTAAGATGGTAGATTTCTACAAACTAATCGAAGGTGCTTTTACAGTAAATCAGGCTTCATAACATCACTACTCTTGCAGAATAGTTTTTTGTTCTTCTGCATTTATAGCAATAGTGTAGTTTAGGCTAAATGCTAGTATTTGCACTGTTCTTAATTCTGTACATAAGCACTGACAGATGCAGCAGGATTTGTACTGTGTGTGCATTTCACTGTTTATTCACTAGATTATGACTTTACAAGGAAGACAATATGTGTAGCAATGGCCACATTCAAAACCATGCAAGAGGAAGTATTCTTGATTAGAAGTAGTATATTAAAATTAAATGCTCGGGTTTTAACATGTCTTTTCATTGAAAATGTTTGGTTAAGCTAGACTTGACTTTTACTGTATAAATTAATCTCTACAGAAACTCTTTAAGTTGCTGTCAGCTCTGGGATCGTTCTGGGAAGGAAGTAAAATTCTCTTAATTCCTCCTTCAATAATTGCAGGAAAAAGAAAGATTGCTTTTAAGTAATTATCAAAATTTTGCAGGGTACAGCATGTTTAAATTCAAATAGGTTCATTTTGGATTTACTGAAAACACTGAGTAATTTGTCATTGTTAAGCATTTATATGGTTGATCAGAGGAATTAGCTTCTAGTTTCCATTTTGAGTTCTAGTTCATTGCCTTTATGGAAACTATTACATCTCATGAAGCATTAAAAATTTTAAAACAAAGCACTTACAGTTCTTTAAGAATATAAACCCTGCAAACTCAGTTTTCTACAACATGTTTCCCACTGTGAGAAAAAGTTAATTTGCAAATTTTTTAAAGTGTGTTGGAGCAAAATCACTGAACTAGGAAGATGAACCATTGGTATCTTGCTGTTTGGGTAAATTTTTGTTATGCAGGAAAAGTATGCAAAACTGTTCAATTAAGAATTCTCAGCAAATACTTCTCAAGTCTATACTTAAGACAGGATCCTTAAGTAACATTACTATGTCTGCATGGCACTGCAATACATGGAAGCTGTACTTTAGCCCTGAGGAGCAGTTTAGCTGGGTTTGCACTTAGAACATTAAAAAGCAAAACAGACTCCACAGGAGGTGGGGTTTTTTTCATTAATTTTGGCATAATGCTAGATTGCTATACATGTTCCAGGACCCAGGCTTGCTCAGGTATTGCTGCCCGAAGATAACGCCTCTCTGTGCAGCACTGCATGCCTCGCAGAAAAACAGGGAGCAGTGTTTTATTATATGGATCATGCATGAAGGGTAATGGCTTCCTCCTTTTTGTTTAAAGCTCAAGAACTTGATCGGTTTTCCTCACTGGTATGTAAGCAGCATATTGGTGCTAACTAAGCAGAAAGTATGTACAGCTAATAGGATGAAAACATGTAAAGATACCAGTTTTTTTCTCCTGTTTCCATTCTGTTATCTGCAAGAAAACTTTGCATTAGTCAACTCTTCAATTTTAGTAAATAAAAATCTGTAACCACCTGTAACAACTGTTGTACTGATGATTGTGATTTGTTTTTCACACATTCAGAAACTGAAGCACATCTTTAGGAGACTATGAATAAATTGACATTTTCTTCTATACTGTAATTTTTCTCTGTCAAGTTAAATTCCTCTATATATAAATATAACAAAGTACTGAAGTATGAATATAAGCATTGCTGATCAGTGTGAAATGTAAAGCCTGAGCTGATGGTGCAGGTTGCTCTTTCACTGTAGAATGTTTAAATGTTGCCTTAAGCCAATCAGCACCACTAATTATATACAGTGCCAGTGAAAACTATTATTTTTGCAAGTCAATTGTAAAGGTAGACACGAGGCCTATTCAGCACAATAGAAAGCAAAAAACCCCCACCAACCCCCCCAAAAAAACACCAATAAAAAATAATTAAGTGTAAGATGTACTGGAGAAAGTATGTGAACTTCAATCAGTGCTTTTAAAGTATTTATGAAATAGTCGTAATTTTTTGGTCCATATAACTTATTAGAAGAAATGGATGTGTGGAAAAGTTTTTGTGTGTGCCCTTTCATTTCCATAAAGTGACAGCTGAAGCTGTAGAGGCTTTGGGGGACGTACTAATGTTACTAAGCTCAGCTAAAACCCTTGATCAGGTCTCCAGTGAGTTCTTACCAACTTTTCATGTCCCTATTATAGGAACTTTCCTGACAGTGTTGTATCTTGCCTTGGGGAACATCTTTGTGGTACCTATAAACAAAGCCATTCAACATGAAGATGACAAAGTATGCAAGGTAAAGCAACCTCAAGGCAAAGGAACAGCATTAGAAATTTATTCAGAATATAAGAACATTTGTAAAATAAGTATTATAAATGTCTCTGTATAAATAAATGCAGTTTTTAAAATTCTATATCAAATAAACACAAAATAGCTATTTTTACAGCAGCTAGGAAACTAAAAAGCAGCACACATTTAAAGCTGATTCAGTAAGGTGAAAAGTTTCTAAACTTACAATGTATGGTACAGTATTAAAGGAGGAGTAAATCCTAATAAAACCAGTAGAACAATACTGAAATTAATGCAAACTTAGTCACATGTGCTTTGCAATAGCTAACAATACATTCAAGCTGGTGAAGATTTATACAATTAGAAAAAACAGTACTACTTTTGTTCTAAACACACTGTGAAATACAAAGTTTCATGCACTCTAGTGACTTAGAAAAAAACAAAACAAAGCACGAATACCCTAACATTAATTAATGAGTGAGCAACTTGGTTCTGTTGCAAAGAACCCCCTTTTTTCCTTGCTTTTCAAAGGTATTTTTTTCTGTCATGTCTTAAGTGAGTAAAGTTCCTGTGACTCAAGGTGATTTGCACGCTCATCTGTAGGCTGGGTGTGCTGCCATTTCAAACAGTTGCAAAAAAAAAAAAAAAAAGGAGTTTTTTTGGCATTTATTCTCAGGGTTGGTGCCATTTTAACAGGTATTTACAGGTACACAGGAACTGCAGCTAATTGTTAATATGAAACAGTTTTCACAATAGCAGTAAACCTTTCACTTCTTCCCTATTGAGGAAACCTTTCTCCAGGAGACCAAGAAATGAATAGGTGCTTTCTTAAGCAAAATAACTGGTGATGTGGCAAACTATGGGTACTGCTGAGGCTATATGAGACTAGTTCTGCTTTCTCATCTATAATCTGTATGGGAAAAAAAGGGAAGTGACTGATGTTTTATACTTTATGCTAAAACACTTTTAGAGCACAGCTGGCAGGGAAGTGATGTGGTTAAGTGTGGTAAAACAATGATCAGCTTATGCAGAATCAGCAAATCATTAGGCCGGAGAGAGGCATTGAGGGACACCACAGCCTTTTGTGCCTTTAAACCCAAGTGCATTTTATGCTTTCTTAATCTATATATTTATTTAAAAGAGAGGTTTCAATTCAAATACCTTAAGCTTCATTGTATTGTTTAACAGACTCTCTTGCTACCAAGAAATAGAAAAAAAATGAGCTTAAGAGGAAATCCAGTGCAGCAGTGGTTTCTAGTTACCGTAAGTGAAAGGTATTTCATGGAGTTTGAGATTACCTTGAGTTATGTGGGTGTTGAAGATGAAGACAAAACTGTGATTGTATTTTTTCCACAGTACATAGCAGATGATTTTCCTTGTGTTTCTTCAGAAATGAGTGTGATCAGCTAGCATTGAAGCTCAGGGAAAAACCTCATGGTGAGAAACTTGTTGGCCAAAAAAAGGGAAATGCCATAGACAGGTACTTAGCAACACAGAAATCAATGTGTCTACTCCCTCAACAGACTGGTTTGCAAAAATTTCCATTTGCATTTTAAATTAAGCACAGTTATCTTGAGACAGAGGACTGATCAAAACCAATCTCAAGGCTTCATTACCTAGAACTTGATTTTGAAATTGTCATTATTTAAGTTGCTATTGTGAAAAACCACATATGTTGGCTTTGTAGCTGATGTATCAGATTCTAGAGAAGCAGGAATCGCTGCCCTAAGAAATGCAGATGTCATGAACACCAACTGCTAGTTTCAGATGTAACACAGACTTAACAATAATGCCATATTTGGAACACAGATTCCCACAACTATTCTGTCTGTCTGGCCTAATCCAGTAGTAGACAAAACCAGTTCAAACTAACTACACATACTTCCTTAGTACTAGAAATTGGAGGAATAAATGAGAAAAGTGATCTTAATTCTAAATACACTAATAGAACCTGCGGTACAACACAACATGTAAAGGATAGACAACTCCTGAAATCCAACTAACTCAGAGTCTGAAAAATGCAAATAGAAGTGTAAAACAGTAACAGGCTAATAACATCAGACTCTAGTTTGGCATGTTAAAAACAAACTTGGAAGCTGCTTTATGAACTCAGTCAAAAAGCAGTCTCCTGTGTTTTGCTCCCTAGAGAAGTCAACATGATCACTTTCTTTGCTTAATGCTCATTACCATAACAGGCCAACAGTTTCAATTCCAGCAGTTTGATAATACCATAAAAAATGATGTGACTTTAGCAAAAGAAGAGAATGTTAGCAAATAGTGAAAAGTAACCTAAGAAGCTGTATGAAGAATTCAACATTCACATTCTGTTTGTGGCTATATATCTATACACCTACACATTTATAATTTTGGGCCTACATATTCAATATTAAACAGGTACATTCCTAGTAAGTACCTTTTTTGGTTGTAACAAGTATAAAAAGATAACATTCTGCCTCTTGATCACAGAAAGCTGTTCAGAAGCACTATGTGCATGACAAAAATGGCCCAGCTTCTTAAAGAAAACCTTGTCTATAACGTATTAACAAAAAACAACTGTTTCACAAAGTAACTGCAAACACCACACAATATAAAATACCAGGAGGACTCCTATCATTTCTTACCCAACCTTGGCACAGACTATCTGGTATGGTGAAACAGCCTTTAATCCTCTTACAAACTGGAAGAAATACACCATTACAGTTTTCAGAGATGCAACTAGCGTTTTTGGCTTTTCCAAACCAACAGGAGGATCTGCAGTGAAGTGACAGTACTGCAAGTATGGTGCAAAAAAGGAAGCCAGCCTATCTCCCCACTCTGCAAGTGTCTATTTAGTTGATTTAACCACAGCAGCAAATCTTGAGGGTACAATACAGAGTGTTGTGTGCACAGGGATTGGGAGAGCTCTCAAATTATCTTCAAACTTCCCAAATTAAAACCTCTTAATAGCAATTATTTTGCTATGTGACACTGTTACCCATAGTACATACATAAAATGGAAGAGAAGATGTATGAATATAGACATAATGACACAGATAATGTACATAATCATAGTATGATAATTCAGGCACTGCCATTTTACATTATGAAACAGTCCTTAAGATTAACACTTACATTATCCCCACTTAGGTTATCCCCATAGCACCTCTCTAGGATCCCAGAGAAGGTGGTTAAGTGTGTCAGCATTGACAGAGCTTTCAGCATTTGAAGCTACCTAAGTCAGTCTCCAAAAAAACGCGTTTGTAATGGCACAAAGCATCTTTGAAAGAGATGCGTTTAAAGTGAAGTTTCATTGGTGTGTGGTCTAGAGTTCTCTTCTTCTAGTAAAGCTATTCTTTGTTTGAGCATTCTTACTTGTGTATCATGTCTCTCCACCATGGCCATCATTTGTGATTCCAGTTTCTTCAGCTTATTTTGATGCTTTTTCTTTGCTTTTTCATAAGCTGCTACCAAATTGCTGTTAGAAATACAAGGCAAGGTCATTTTAAAAGGCTTGTTCATAGCAAGAGCTACAAAAATCCACCCCAAAATCCCACCTTTGGAAAGTCTGGTTATTGATATTCTTCCTAAAATTTCCTAGTGCTTTACAATGCGTTAGATCCAAACTTTATTGGTCCAAAACCAGATCAATGCTGTGGTAAACTGGTTAGTGAAAACACTTTTAAACGTGGTTCAGAGAGCCAGCTAGGGGTTGCTGATGGTGACCTCCTGCTGTTGTGAGTCAGCATAGCACAACATTTAATATGCAATCATTTACTAAAACATTGCATTGCCAGAATTTGCTTACAAAACCCAGCACTGACTTTGCATTTTCCATTAAAAAAAGTTCTATTCCAAAGATGGTATTTTGTGTTAATTTGTCAATTGCTAAGTATTTTCTGTGCCTCCAAATTGACTCAGTTGGAAAACTTGAGAACTTGGGCATTGCTCCTCAACACAAGGGCTTTCAGGTATAAGTTATTAATGAAAACTACATAGTGAGTGATAGGCTCCTTGCAGGAAGGGCAGCTACAGTCCACCATATTCTCAGACCATCCAAACAGTGCCAGTAAAATCTACTGAGTGAGCAACAGAATTTAAGTGTGACTATCAAAACCAGTTTATTAATCAAGAGGCTGGAGATGAAGAAAAGCGAGCATTTTTAAACAAAGCGAGAGATTCATAAATCTCACTAAACAAAGGTTTTCATTTATTTTAATAATAATGCATTTACTAGTAATTCATTTAAGATTAATCTATTTCCCTGACTCTCTTCTTAGCTATGTAGTTTTCAGTGTCATACATGGGAGGTATATACCTCCCCCATCGCTAAGTATCACCTTAAAGAGTGAACTCTCGTGAATGCAGGGATCCAAAAACTGCTCATTAAGGCAAGGGGAGGTTTACAGTGCATTACCAGAATATGGGGGGGGGGGAAGGGAATCAATCTTGCATCCGTCTGGTGGTGGTTCCTTTACCTGTTTGCCCTTTTGAGGTCATTAACAAATTCTGCAGACTGCTGATGTCTGATTTCACTACTCTTCGTAAGTCTCTCCAAAGCACTCACTAATTCTTGCACTCTAGCTTTTAGTTTCTTCTCCCTGGATCAGGAGAAAAGGAGGGAGAAAACCATTTTCAAAACAAACAACACTTCACCTCACAAGTGCATGAGTGGTTGTTCTGTGCGGAGTTGACAAGATGATAATATTTTTCTTCCTACTACTTGGATAAAACAGGAGGTAGCTCTTACATTAAACTTTTCCACAAATTGATTTTTGTATTTTTACAACATTCACTATTTTAGAATATAGGATCAGAGATGCAGCAAAGAGAAAGCAAACCTCTCCGGTGGATCATGATCTTGAATGTATCGAATTACACTAATAATCACAAAGACACAGAAAACAAATAATTAAGAACACCTGGCACCTGCCACCTACTGTGTCTGGAATGAGCTAGTGAAAAAAACTAACAAGGGAAATCAAACATCATGGTAATCACATAGGAGTTTTAATTAAAACTATAATACCAGGATTGCTATTTAAGACAACTGGCTAAACAAATTCCTTTTTACTTAGAAATTACTATAGAATTACAGAATTATTTAGGTTTGAAGGCACCTTAGACATCACCTCATTCCAATCCTGCTGCCACAGGGAGGGACACCTTCCACTAGATCAGGTTCCTCAGAGCCCCATCCAACCCAGCCTTGAATGTTTCCAGGAATGGGGCATCTTCAGCCTCTCCAGGCAACCTGTTTCAGTGTTCCAACATCCTCAGGGCAATTCCACTGATTTCAGCTACTGCCTCAAATTTAGCTATATATGTAATTTATGCTACAGCCTCTGTTACAGTAGATCACTACGTGTTTTTAGGAACCAACCAGTCCAGTCCACGTGGCGGTGGAAAACAGAAAAGGAACAAGAGAAGGGAGCACACACAAAAAAGGGCAGAAGACAGAGAACAGGCATTTTCTTTTGGGAGGTACCCTTTAATTAAGCCAGAGTAGTGAGGTTTAAAATGCCAACATAGTTACCAATTCTTACTTACCAATTATGAATCAAAAACTACATGAAGTAAGCCAAAGTGGAAGCAAGGTACCTTATAAGATTTTTACATTACGAATATCTCTATGAGGGAAAGAAAAAGTGAACAAGGCAGATGTTCTGAGCAGGAGTAAGCATTAAAGCTTAAGGCTTAAGCTGGCTTTAAAAAGCACTTCCCAGCGCTCATGAGCATGTGGCAGGGGGCAAAGTTACATGATGAAGTGTTGAACCTTACACTTGGGAGCTCTGCATGGATGGAGATGATTGTCCATACTTTGCTGCTTAGAGTCACTATTTGTCTTTCCCTCCTGTGTTTTGTTGCTGTGCTGTTAAGACAGTAAATTAGATTTCATCTCAACAACAAGACCACCACTAGCTCCCACATATGCCTACTAAGCCCCATGGGAATGAATGCCAAAACTTTATGGAAGTTTCCCCAGTTCTGCACAGACTACACGAGTGGATGATTCCTCAAAACCCAACTCATCAGCCTGCAGTTCCGAGGTTGGCCTGGCAATGGCACCATTTTATAACCAGAGACAAGGACAGCACAAGTGGCACGTCCCACTGTGCCGGGTTTCAGCAACAGAAGGGCTTTCACAAAGTCAGCCGGGGAAATAGTCCGAGTTAGCACTTTAACCCAACACACTGCAGACGCTGGTTCACTGGCCAAATTAAAAAGAACGTAACAGGGGCCTTATTGATGAAGAATCATCAGCATTCTTTATGCGTTTTTCACTGAAGTAACATACTCTGTTTTCAAATTATGCAATGTTTTTCCCCTAGTGATTAGAAGCTCACTGCCATCCACCCCAAATATACATTTTATTTTTATATACTATCCTAGGAGTCAGAAAGACTCAGTACAGTCTACAGCCAAAATCTCTGTTCTGCAAAGAAAACAGAAACAAACAAAAAATACCCAGTTTTCACTTGCAATAAAAGATGAGTAAGATCAGACCTGGCCGAGGTTACCTAATGTGTGTGTGGCAATACCAGTATAACAGAACATCACAGGGTGAATTTGGTGCTTATCTGCTCCAAAGGACGCTACAGCCATAGGCTCTGGGGAAGGCTCAGTAGCACTGTGCCCAGCACTGTGACCTAGTGTGAACAGCAAGTCCAATGGAATAAACATTTACGGTATTTGGATGTGAAGAGAAAACAAAACAAAACCAAAAAACGAGGTTGATTTAACATTATGTGCAAGAAAAGCTGTAACTGTGAAAACTCTGCGCACAGTCCCATGGGAAAGAACCCTGGAGCTTAGTGCAGCTGAAGTCCTTAGCCCACCTGCTGTAACAAAAGCTGCGTGGAAAAGAAACAGCGGAAAGACTTGGAGGAACCTGGTAGTTTGGTTCCTACAGTGACTGTTACCTGATAAAACTATTACATCACCTTTTGTCTGGTTTTGCACTCATACCTTTCAACGAGTCATGTTCAGTCTGAACTCAGCTAAATATCAATAGATATTTCTTTACACTTGGCCTGTAACATTCTTGTCTTGCTGCTTGCCAAAAATACAGAGCCAGCAGAATGGTAGGCACCCTGGGCCTCTCTAGGCTAATTAAATAACTTTCAAATACTAGTTCTTAACTGTCTTGCTTAATAAGTAATAGTGGGTAATCCTTCAAATACGTAGATACCTCAAACTTGGATTTATATCAGTAGAACATATATTCCCTGAACTGGCATGATCCACACAGTTCTTTTGGCTTTTCTTGATGTCTTTCAGTCTGTGGAAACAGCATTAGCTAGTGCCTACTCCCACCTTAATCTCAGAGAGAGCAACGGGTGGTTTAATTGCATGTGCTGAAGTGTCCCAAAATATTATAGAAACAACACATTAGGATCTACTTTTACACTTCATGATGCCCATTTAAAACATGCCTATGTAAATATTTCAAGAGGCATTTTAATAGAACAAGTAACACGAGTAGACAGACATAGCAGCAACAGTAAAGGCCTAGTAGAGACCTTATTTTAGTCTGGGAAATAGAAATGCATGTACACTTGGTTATCTACTGTTACCTGCAAAAAACACGTCAGGTTTTCCCTGGAGTGCTGCACATTCTATTTTAGTAGCAGATGAGAGATGTCAGGGCTTACTGGCTACCCAACCAATGTTCCATCCGTTCGTGCAAAACCCATACCTCATAATACTAACTCTTCCCACTTCATTTCTACCATTAAGTGCCTCAGTTTATAGAAAAAGCACTGATTTGTGTCTCTCTAAGACTGATTGCTTAGTTGGGCAGCGAAAGGGAGTGATGATGAATCCTGAGGTGCTATTTGTATTCCTTTAATGCATTTCAGGGTTGGCTCTTTTTATGGGATTTCTAGCACCACTTCACGCTCCTGATTGTTATTATAAATCAGCAGGATGTAGAGAATCAGCCACTACATGCTTAGTAAGATAGAATATTTTAAAACAATAGTCCTATTCATACGCAGCATTTTTCCAGATTGAGAAGATATAAAAGCTGTGAACCAGGGATGGAACTGCCTTTGATGCAACCATACCAACATCCTCCTGACATGGGTCAGTCTTCCAGAGTCTAAAGAGCACACTTGCATAGAAGCTTACACTCCAAACTCACATTGCTAGTGTGCCCCAGGGCTGTAATGTGGACCAGTATGGATCCTGAGAAAGCATTTATTTGTGTATTTTGATGGGAAGAGGGAAGGAGAAGCACGTATTTTTAGGAGAACACAGGCCATGAGGCCTCAAGTCAACTGGACTGCAGAAGTCAGCACAGCTTTTGCTCCCAACAGCTCCTCTTCCAACTAGCTACTGCTGCTGAAGCTGTGGAGAAAACAGCTACTGCACTTTGTCTTCACAGAGAAAATGAGTGTGTACGGCTTGCTTACAACATAAGGGCTCTCTGCTGCAGGGCACTCGACAAGTCAGCTGGGCAAGTCCCTGACTGCTCCCTTCCCAAAGCTCAGAGTAAGTATATAAGTAGGCCTACAGTCTACTTCAACAGCTGCTAAAATCACTGTTTTCAGTGAAAAGCCCCATACGCTGGTAACAAAGACTTCTGCTTTCTGTTTTCACAATCACTCAGCAGGCAGTTGCTAAGCGGTTTTCAAGGACTTTCTGCTTCACAGGAACAGGATGGTTTGAGGACTTAAATGTTTTCTCTGGTTTCAAGGCTACTGCTGCAGAGAGTGGGGAATTCTGCCAGAGCTGCAAAGGAAACTATGTAACATTGGGCACATTTCTGCAGTTTCTGTCATTTTGGCTTCTGCACAGTGACACCATATGTGGACTAGAATAATGTGAGCAAGGTCTTGCACACCTTGTATTTTCCCTCCTGCCTGGGCTTTTCCAGACATGTTCAGGTTTCATACACCAGAATTCTTCCAAGGTGAATTTTCCTGTCCTTGCTCACTTCACTGAGAATCCTTCAGTGTTGCAAACAAGAACTGCTCTTCCCTGGCATGCAGCAAGTTCATTTTACTGCCCTTGGCTTGGAGCGTACCCAGCTAACTCCCCTCCCCTGTGAAAGCTCAAGCTATCATCCCTCTGCCCTGGGGTGAAGAGCACCCATGGCTCTTGCCAAATCTTCAGCAAAGAAGGACTAATGAGCTTTCTCCAAATCAGGAGGTAAGAAACTTCACCACAGCTGGACAGAGGATGCAGGGGCCTTTGAGGCTTGATTGTCTGACATCTTACCATCCACAGGAAAATCCTTTACCCACCAGGGACCATGACTTGCTACAAGTAGATCCCTTCAAATTCTGGCTCCCCTGACCATACTGGCACCACTGGCTTCAGCTCAGCATCCTCGCCTGAGCTTCACAAACACCAAGCCCCAGGGCAGCAGCCAGGCAGCCACAGAGGATGCAGGGGCCTTTGAGGCTTGATTGTCTGACATCTTACCATCCACAGGAAAATCCTTTACCCACCAGGGACCATGACTTGCTACAAGTAGATCCCTTCAAATTCTGGCTCCCCTGACCATACTGGCACCACTGGCTTCAGCTCAGCATCCTCGCCTGAGCTTCACAAACACCAAGCCCCAGGGCAGCAGCCAGGCAGCCAGTCCAGT